CCACTGCTCCCAGGCAATGTGTGGCAGGGCAGGGCAAGACGCCCGCTGTGCCACCAACGCCCGTGGACGAAGCCGCTCCGACACAGCGTTTGGGATGGTCGGAGCCACGTACAGGAGCGGAAGATCTTGCTGTCCCTCGAGGGTTCGAGCACCAAAGCGAGGACAAAGTGGCCTCGCAGCCTGGACAGGACTCGCAGTCTGAGTCTGTCCTGCAGTGTGCCTTTTGGGTTGTGAGCCGTCCACCTACCAGTAGGCTTTTCTGCTGATATTCTTCTCTCTGCTATTCTTCAGGAACAGATCGGTGGAACGGCTGCGACATTTGGTCTTGCTTTTTGTACAATTGTACAACCTAGATACATTGTTGGCAGGAGACATTGATGCAGGCATACCTGGCATTCCTGAATGGTGTGGACGGCGCCGCCCTCAAACCATGGGAATCACGTTAACCCGGTTTAATCCGAAATCCAAGCTGGCAGTTCTCTCAGTCAAGGCCCATTGTTGGGTCTCCCAAAATCTTACGGCTCCGTATTCACATGCGCCCAAAAAATCAGGTAACATGGCACTGAACTCCTGTGAATTCGGAAATCTGGTTCATGCAAGGTCTGCCTCCGGATCCTGCTCCATGCTTGCCACAAGGCTTGGGATTTGCTAGTTTGCCAGGCAGGCGAGGCTTGGCGAGGCTACGCGAGGCTCATAATGTCATAGGCGGCGCAGCGAAGCCCTAAACCCTGAAAGTAGGTGCATGTCGTGGATGGGGATGTTGAAGAGCTTCGGGTGGTTAACTCGGCAGCCGTCAGGTCTGATTGCAGAGGTTCCTGCCGCCTCGAAGCCTATCAGCCCGCAGACGCCGCAAGCAGGCGCCCCGTAAGAGACTGATAGATTGGCGTGGAGATCATATTTCCAAGGCGACCCTAGACCTGATGACAAGCTCCTGAATCCCAGCTTGCCCTTGTAGACTCTCCCTCCCCCTGCCTTTCCCCGCCGACCACTGGATTTTTTCCAGGAATGCCAGACCTACCCGAAGTGTACCGGGTCCTTGCCTGAGCATCGCCGAACAAGATTGCACCGTCGCAACGATTCATAACAGGCGCATGCATGGCATGGTCGTAGCGCGCGGACCAAAAAAAGGATTATGGTGGTTCTCCCAGGTCACAGTCGATGGCGTAGGGAGAAACTCCATCATTCACGGCCCTGCATGCAACGGGAACATGAGTGCCCCAAGAAGGCTGCTGTCAGCATCATCTGCGACCACGGCTGGGACGCGTTACATGGCGGTGACAATGCAGGACGTGCTTGTTCCGTGTCACGAAAGCGAGCACAAGCTGCTTGAGTTTCGTGCTGCTTCACCCAGTGGGGACAATCTTTGTTCTTTGACGACCAGCGAATTTTTGGTGGATTGAACAGTTCACATAAAACTCACGTGCTTCACCGGCGGGACGAGGGGGGGGAAATGAAAGGTTCACAATATTCCGGAGGCTAACTGAATTGAAAGTTCACAGTCATCCGCGCGCTGCAGGTGATGACTCACAGGGATCCGTGTGCATGGTCTGGTGGCGGAGGTCTGTGCAGGATTTATTCCTCACCATCGTTGGGACTAAGCTTTTGAATGCTTCGGTGCGTGCACACAAAGCTCCGCAGCTCTTTGATCGACATTGTACACTCACCGTGTGTCCGCCATGGAGTGCTCGCCGGGTTCCGCAGCGCTCGCTAGTAGTCTGTTCGCATTTGGCTTTGTGTCGGTGCTTGTGAGGCATATATGTCTTGCCTGTCTTGCATTGTGGCAAGCAGGAAAGTCAGGGGCGTGTGGGTGTGTGTGTGTGAAGTGACTGACAGACCGCAAATGCCCATCAGGACTTCAATGCCGTGTTGAATTTCATGTCGAAAAAACAGTTCTTACTCGCAGGACCATGCTGGACGGCCCTTCATTGGGCAGCAGCAGAGGGACGAAACGATGTGTGCTTGTTGCTGCCGCTCAGACTTTTAGGCTTCTTAGGCATCTCCACAAGCTGTCCCGAGCTGGTCCCGACCCCACACACCTGCCCCCAGCCCAGGCTCAGCTGCCGCGCCGATGCCAATCAAGAGGACAGGTTTTAAGCCAGCCATGAAAGTTCTGCGCGATCCGCCTCGGCCTGGGCTTGGAGCAATCATGCGAAGTAACATCTGGCTGGATCCACAAGGGTGCATAGGTTTTGAGGTGTTTCGGGTTCTGCTAGATGGGGGTTAGGCACTCCTTGGTGCCGCCTGCAGCGCACAGCCCGGAACGAACAATCTGGCCAGTTCCTCCTCCCGAGTGGCCGTCCAGACCGCCCCGACTTCTCGCCACTGCTGTCGGCGGTGTTTCCAGGCCACGGTCCGACCTTGCCTGCGTGCCGAGGCTTGTTGTCTTAATTGGTTGGCCTGCGAAGAAAAATCCCGCCCTCATGAAGTTGGCCTCGGAGTTACCTTCTCTGCCTTCTTGCAGAGACGCTGAAGCTGACTCATTCACTAAAAATCCAAATCCTTCTGATTTGCAAGCTGTTGGGGTTGGGATGTAAGGTCTTGGGCTAGGCTGTCGGGTTGAGGGTTGAGAGGTTTACTCACCACGTGGAGTTCAGGGGGCTGCTAGGGGTCCATGGAAGGTGCGAAAGGCCCATAAGCGGGCATGGGGGGCTAAAGGTCCATAGGTGGCAGTTTCAGGGGGTTGGATGGTAGCGGTTGGGACGGCGTCGGTCAGCTCCATTTGAAATGTGCCCTCTTCTTATTTCATGGTGCACAGATGCCGGTGGCCAGCTCCAGGCAAAACAGAGGGTGGCAGTTTATGAGCACATCTGTGTTGAGTTGCGAAGGATGAGATTGGCAGAACCCCGGCTTACTATGCCAATCTGCACGGGTACACTCAGACAGCCGTGAGGGGCACGGAATGTGGTTGCGTGTGACATGTGCTTAAAACAGCAGAGCAATGGCGAGTCCAGGCCCTGCTTCAGAGTTCATCCAGGCCTCTTCAGGCCAGAGCATGTTTGGACAAGCTGATTTTCGTGAAGCAAGGACCCACGACGATCCAAGCATCTTTCCTGAGGACGTAGAGCGGCTGTCAGCTGCTAGCACCGGGGCTCGGTTCTCAGCTGCTATCGGTGCTGACCAGGGCTTGGGCAAAATGCTCTTGTAAAATGGAGAAGGAAACGCCTGCAAAAAGCCAGGCGAGCATCCTTGACCGTGGTTCCTGTGGCACCTCGCTGCGCTGGCCTTGGCTCCTTTTGCTCTTTGTGGCTTCTTTTGGCTTCGTGCTCCTCTTCTTGTGCTCTTCTTGTGCTGCTCTTCTTGTGCTCCTCTTCTTGTGCTCCTCTTGTGTTCTGAGCTGCTGCTCTCGCTCTGACGCTCAGAGCGCTCTCAGGTCTCCTTCCCTGCTCCAACAAGTCGCGACGCCGCACTCAACGCCTCGGGATGTCTCTGCATTGGCCGCGCTGAGCAGCTGAGATAGGCTGATTTGGGCCGAGACACAGGCTGAAATAGGCCTGAGCCTCCGGAGCTTCGAAACTGGAGCTTCCAGTATCTCACATCGAGACCAGCCGTTCTGCGGCGCCCTTAAAGAGCGAAGGCTTTGTGCGGATCTCTGCAGCACCTTGCCTGATGGTAGAACCCCTGTTGCACAGGAGGGTCGAAAGTTCTACGAAACATTACGAAACCAAGGCGTTGGTTTGGTTATCCGATTATACCGCAAATTATTGCAGGCGAGTCATTTGGCGCCATGCGTGCTCACGAATTTGGACGCTTCTGACAGCATGTCTTGTTCCAGAAACATGTTCGCCAAAGGTATGAGCGCTCGTGACGGCGCGTCTTGTTCCAGTGACGTTAAAGTACGTTAAAATGCTCGTGCAGTATGTTGTGCACAAGAAGGCAATAAAGGAACTGCATTGAAAACACCAGTCTATTATCACGTTCGCCAGAAGCACAGCGTGTCATGTTCCTCACCCTTGTGCAGTACGATGTACGTAGCGAGGGGCAAAAATGCTGGCACCTTTGAACGATGTTATTGTCCCCCGCCCTCCCTCCTCCCTCCTCCTAGGTCTGACAAGACCCGAGAATTAGGAGGACCGAACCACAGCGCGCCACTACAGACCTGCAGAGGCCAACCTTGAGTTCATGGCTTAAGCTTCGAAAGATCCGGAAATTCTGAAAGTCTGGTCTGTGCATGTGCATCTCGGCCCAGAAGAAGAGTAGATGACGTGCAGGGACAGGTGAAGTCAGCGATCGGCTGCCAGAAGCCCCAGCTCACGTGTCCCGCACAGAAGCATAAAGGTCTAGCACCGTCAAGGGGAACACCTTGGAGAGCTCTCTTGGCATTCTGCCAGGACATGGAGCCGAGAGAAAGTCGAGAGCTCCAGTGCCAAGCGCTCGGAATTCCAGTGGCGAAGCTCTCTCTGTTGACTGATGGCATGAAGAAGATCCTGCAGAATAAGCATCGGACGTGCTCAGCATGACTTTGCCTCCAAGCAACACTGACCGTCATCATTGACCACAGCTGTAGGCATTTTCATAGTCGTAGCTTTGCAGCACTCACCCAGGCCTTTGGCTCAAGTCTTTTGCCGTTGCACCTCAGTTGTTTCCGGGCAAGCACAAAAGCCATCCCTGGATTCAGCTGATTCGGAAGGCTAACTGTCCTTTTGGAATCTAGACGAAGTACCGATGGGAAGGCTGAAAAAACAACAATTAATTCTGGACTTGTTTTGACGGCCCGCCGGACAAACACAAAATCTATGTTTGGAGGCCTGTGATGTCTATGCTACTTGCGCTAAGTTTGTCAATGCTACTGTTCGCTTGACATGTACAGGCACTACGCTTCAACACACACCCTCTACAATTATGTGCTTCGGCGCCGGGGGGTGACTGCTGGGAAGTGAAAGTTACTGAGGATGCCAGACGTGCGCAGCTCGGAGGGCGTATGGGCCATTGGAGTCATTTGAGGTATCCAATCCATGCATCCATGCATCCATGCCCTGTTGAGGCCAAGCGTTTGCTTGGTGATGCAGAGGCGACGCAAGGGTAGGAGTGAAACCAGCGCGACTCTTGATCTCGGGAAGTTTATTCGAAGAGTCGTTGTGCAAGAGCAAGGTTGGCAGACCTAGGTCAGGAAACATGACGGGAAATTCAGGAAATGCTTTGTGCTTTTCTAGCCGAATGCTTGCCGACTTTTCTTCGGGTGTTTCCTGAGCTTGTTTCTTCCCACAGCGTGCCCAGCCTATGGAAATGTGTGACATCCAGCCGAGCCTGCCTTGGGAGGTGTCTACTTCCACCATTGTTCGTGCTTGCCGGGCACTTGAGAAGCTACAGGGTGGATGTTCTTTAAACGAAGGATGCATTCGTGACAGCTAGCCGAAGGCATAGGCTAGAGTAGCACACAGAAGCTTGCCCAAAGAGGCCCTGGACCCGAACCTCCGCTAAGCATATGACTCAAAACTGACATGCGTGCGGCGAACACAAGTTCGGTGCAGGAAGCAAAGCTTCGGAACTTGTTGATGTTTGTAAACACCATCCTAGACCACACTCCCAGTGACCTGGCGGTCGCTGGGCCCCTATCCTCAAGGCCAAAGACAGCCCCCCCCCCCCCCCCCTCCCCAGGCCTTTCTGCCAGAGAGGCCGAACCTCCTCAAGTTGAATTTGAAGAACAACAATTGAGTTGAGATAGCTGTCCATGGACAAGCAGCGCAGGGTATTGTGAGATATCGAGGGCAATCAGACACAGTGCGACGCAACCCTTCTTCAGGTTTAGTCTAGGGCCTTGGGGTTCCGGGATAAAGCCGAAAAGCCTCAACCCCCCGCATCACGCTGGACCACCTTGGTGTTGTCGCTCGTTCCAAGGCCTTTGCTTCAGTTGCAGGTGCCGGCCTGTGTTCACTGGGTTTGGATTTGGCCTAAACCGCTTCGGGAGGCGTAGGGTGTTCTGGAGGACTTCGGGTTCGGGGACGTGTCATGCGCTCCTCACAAGCACACACGGGCTGTGTTTTGGTGTTTCAAGGGGGTGTTTTCAAGGGCTACAGCCGGGAGACGTGCAATCCTCGAGACAATGGAACTGACGACGGGTAGCACGTGAAATCCATAAAGATCCAAAGGAACGAGATCCATGATTGACTAGCTACCAAGGGGGCTGTTGTACAAGCTCCCACGGCTCCACGAGCTCTGCACATGTCCGAGGTGGGCATGTTGAGACAAGGCACGGGCACACGTTCTAGCTATCCAGGCAATCCATGGTGTCGAAAGGGTTTCGGGTTGGACCGGGGAATTGGCAAGTTGGATTTTGTTGGACTCCTTGGAGTTCTGCTCTATACTCTCCCGGAAAACGATGCATCCCCCTTGTCTGTGAGGCAAGCAGCGGAAGGGTTCCTTCACCGCCGGCCTGTGCCGGAGCCCTCGACCGAAGAAGATGCAAAGCAACAGGACCTCAGCATCCCGGAAGCCCTGGACTTGCCAATGCTTGCCAGTGCCAGTGCTTTCAGTGCTTTCAGGAGGATGCAGAGCCAGCCGCTTACTGGGTTTCATGCCGCGGAGTGCGATCATGTGGTTTTAGTCCCTGAGAAGCACTGAAGAAGAGGTTGCGGGGCTGCATTTGCCCACCCTCTTTCAACCAGGCAGAGGCCCGTGCTTTATTCCGCTGGCATGTTGACGTGGCCGATTGGGGCCGTAAATCTTGCAGTGTAGCAGAAGTTGTGTTCTGCATTCCTTACCGGATCGCGGAGGCAAAGCGCATGCGTGGCGTGGCTGCAAGGAGGAACATAGTGCACCAGACATCATCTTGTAGCGTGGTGACTGTACTTATACTTATACATACACATGCATCTGCATGTTAGCTTCGCACCTTGCGTGGACCAACTTGGCTAAGATCTGCTAAGGACCTCTCGCGCTGGGAGCTTCTCAGGAGTCCTTGTCCCTGCGAAAGACGGTCGCGACGGTTGCACCTCTGCAAGTCCACCGACTCCACCGGGTGGTCACCTGTCCTGAAGACTGCATGCCAGATACACCACCAGCCCAAGGGGCCCAACCTACACATCCCAGACACATGCAACCCAATGCCCAAGGCACACCTTTGACCAATCAACTTCAAGCCGGGGAGAACAACTCCACACCCACACTCTCCACACGCCCTGGTAGCTTTAGCAGCGCTGGCAGCCTCAAGAAAGCACTTGTCGCCTGGCTGCTGGAAGCCCCGGGGGCACCACGAACTTCGGCGTCAAATCTTCTTACCTTGCTGGCATTCCCTCTTAAAGAGGCGGCTGGCAGCAGTGGTGCTGATGGTTTTGACGAATTTGATCCGCCGCATGCGGGAAGGAGGCTAGCCGGCGGCTGTCCCGCAAGCAGCCTGATGACAGCGATGTCCACAGCAGACACCTGCGAAATCACTGCGGTCCAGCGGGACGACCGTGGTAGCCAAGCGGGGATGGACACCGGCTTGCTGGAGTTCCTAACCATCGGCGAGTGCGCTTGTGACTCAGAAGATGTAGAGACATGTAGAGTAGTTGTGTGTAGTTATGTGTAGTTATGTACCGTAAAATTGAACAATGGGATCCTGCTCGGACCAAGAGTCTGCAACGGGTTCCGAGTCCTACGTGGCCTTCCTGATCTACGGTGCTCTTGTCGGTGCGTTGAGCGGAATGGGTCCTGGCACGCTCGCCTGCAGCTGAGCCTAAAGCAAGCAAATCTGGGTCACAAGGTAGCTTTTGTCTAGCAGCGATGTCTTGCCAAAAGCGAAAGTGTCATCACTCTCAAAAATCAGAGGCCATCATCGGCCTCGTCCTCCTGTGCTGGCCGATTGCCGCGTGCAAGGTGTCATCGGAAATGATCAGACTTCCTTTACGGGCTCTTGAAGCAGATGCTTGCGTAATCCGTGTAATCATGCAATGCAGGTTTGCTGTCGATGTTGCCGCAGATGCTGCTGCTCGCTGCGGCCTGAGCATCGCCTGTGCGCGCGGCCCTGCATGCTGGCCAACTCTGACGAATCTTCTTTGTCGGAGGAAGCGTAATGGTCTTGGTCTTGTAGATTAAGCTCGCCATCGGGTAGACGAAACAGATGCAAAATCCAATGAGTCCTTCAGGGACTGAGAAATAGCCAGATCCGATCACGTCCCAAAGCAGCGCAGCGTCCGACTACTAGGGCGAGCATTCAACCATGAGGCTCTGGGAGAGGATGGGTGGCCGCACGAAACCACCGAATAAGCTGGAAGGCATGGAGGAGATTGGGGCAGGCGGCAGGGATTTTTGAAGAGAAAGGCCGACATGGACCAGGGGGGAAGACGGAAGCTTTCACCTGCGAGGGCGACATCCCACGCTCAAATTTTCCAGCCAATGCCGGCAAGGCCCAGAATATCAAGCGGGCCTGACCCCCTTCGCCTTCGCACACGACAACAACTAGGCATGCCCGCCACCGGCAAACTAGCGTGAGTGCAAGACAACTTGTCATCCTCGCAGAGGTGCGTGCGATATCGCTTTTCCCCAGAAGGTTAGTGCTAGGCGAAGCAAGGATGGCCAACATGCTTTTCCGCAGATCCCTCCACGAATGCCAACTGTGTGACACGACCCAATGTGGCTCCGAGCGCTGAATCAGACAGTACCTTAGTCCTGGATAAGACATGGCAATCACTTTTCCCCCGTCACAAGCTTACGTGACAGTCTACCTTCAAAATGTGCAGAATGCCAAAGCTGCGAACACCAGGAAAGGTTATCGGAATCTACTCTTAGCAGGCTGGACAGCAAACGCAACTAATACTCGTGCCGTGGATTTCTGATGAATTATCGGTGGCAGTAATGGTGGTCGCACGTGCAGAACGAGCAGTAGTGGTACTGGTGGCAGCAGCGACAGCAGAACAGCAGCAGCACTAGCATAACTGTGGGAGGCGGTACTACGAGGCGGTACTACGACCGTGCGCGCATCATCTTTTAGATAGACCAACCCCAATGCACAGAAGGTAGCCCAATATGTCAAGAAGATAGCCCAGAATCCGACACTTTAAATTATACGAGGCCCCAAACGTGCAACATCCATAAGAAAACCCACTTCCCTCAAGCTTAATTAGCTACGCTAGCTTTCGTGATACTAGAAATAGTTAGGAACTGCAGTACCAGTATCACGAGTGCAAATCAGAATAGTAGGAATCGTAATCGTACTTAAAACCCAGCCTCCGCGTCACGGCCGTATCACTGAAAGGTTTTTGGAAAACTTCGGTTGATAAAAACTTACTAGTAGTACTACTCGATCTAGTAGTAATATATTTCTAGTAGCAGCAGTAGTCGCAGTAGTAGCAGTAGTAGCAGTAGTAGCAGTAGTAGCAGTAGTAGCAGTAGTAGCAGTAGTAGTAGTAGTAGTCGTCGTCGTCGTCGTCGTCGTAGTAGTAGTAGTAGTAGTAGTAATAATTAGAAAACCAAGAGTAAATGGTAGCATGGGGGGCTGCATTTTGAGGCGTTACCTAAGCACACTGTGGCCTGGAAGATGAAGTACAGGGCAAGGCTTTCCCACTGTGCCAAAGGTGCTGCCGTGAAGGAAAGGAGATCAGAAAGATAGGCTGGCACTGCAGCTGCGCATTCCTGCTGAAGCACCTGCAGTTCGGCACCTGGACAGGAAATGTCAAAAAGGTTGTGATCATTCTGCTCTCTTTGGCCGGTCTGGGTGGGATGGCAGCCCTGCCCATGGCAGGTGGGCAAGGGCGCCGGGTGAATCCCGAGAGCCTGCTTTGCGATTTGGCATTGTGGCGAGGCCTCATGGGCGATGTGAAAGCCGGCCCGGCTGTGGCACAAAGTGCGGACTGTGCATCCAGGCACAGGTCTAATTCTGCATGGCGGGGGTTGGGTGGTTGCATGCCGCTAAGCACGACACCCTCCAGACGTGGTTTGTGTGCCAGTCCTCCAGCATATTCTATGAGTCTATGAGTGACTTGAAGCTTGGCCACGTGTTAGGGAGTTTGTGCGGCTGGCGATGTGGCAGCCTCAGTACACACCTGGAGCAGAAACGATGCACAACCGCAGCGGCAACGCCGGCGCAAGGGGAGATGTCGCGGCCATCGGCGATGTGGGGTCGATTTCCACAGGCCAGGTTTCCGGGCAGTGGGAGTGATGCGGAGACTCAGAGAAACCGAAGCCCTTTACACAGCCTGCAGTTGCCCTATCCCATTAGGCGGCGGCACCTCGGGCGATGCCAACCCAGATCCTGGAGCGAACACTTCGCGCCTTTTGCAGGGTTCTGTGGCGCCCTCAAATCGCACTGGTTCAGAAATAATTGTCGGCTCACAGATTCATAGCTTGGGGTATTATTGGCTTATGACATGACATGACTGCTACCAGACATCCAGGCTGTTTTCACAAGTCATGAAGTTCATAAATGAATAGCAACCTTTTCCCCCTTGTGAAAGCACCATTGAGGCTGTGGGGCTGGGAGCGGCCGTTGGAAAACCTTGTCAAGGTTGTTTAACAAACCCCCGCTGCCCCTACCTGAACCTAAAGCCCTCCCAAAGCCTGTCTTCCTCCTGTGGCGAGCAAAGGCATCGTTCGTGGGCATAGCCATCGCCCAGCAAGAAGCAGAGCTGGCCTCTTGTAGAGTCCTTCAGCTTCCATCTCAAGGGCCCCAAGGGTTTTGGGCTTGAGGATCGAAAACGCTTGGGTCTGGTGTAGCACGGACCACCGAGCCTCAACCACCATGAAAAATGCTGGGTGCGGACGCTGGGGCACCCCACCTGAAGCCAGGTGCAGACGCTGTCTGGAGATGTGGATGCATTGGCAACAGCTGCTTCGCAGGCTCCATGCCACAGCTTCTGATGTGACTGGTGACGGCTGGTCTATGTAATCTCTTGGTGTTAGTGTTTGACTTCAGTAGGTGGAGCTGTAGGTAGCACTTTGCCGGCTGCAACACCAAATTTCCCGGCACGGCCCCAAGCCCCCGAGCCTTAAACCCATCCAGGCCGCGGGGCAAGATGGCGGGGCAGCAGCTCACGTCGCGGAGTCCTTGGCCATCTTGAGGCAGATGGGACGGGCTTTTTGGGAACTGCGAGCTTCCTCAGTACCGGCGAAAGATGTCGAAGCGTGCAAAGGATGTTCTCCAGCCAGGCTTATGCGAACTTCGCTCCAGGGCCAGATTTCCGTGGCAGGAAGCACGCCCGCTCCACAGAAAATCTCAGCTCTTCGTGTCCTCTGCTTGACTCAATTAAGCCGTTGCCTAAACTCTCGTCCAAGGTGCAATTTTTGCGAGCTTTGCTGTGGGACGCAGGTCGGCTGCACTGTACCCGATGATTTCTCGATGCACCTTACACATTCAACACAGTCGAAGTCGCTAAGAAGGGCCTTTAGCGTACGGTTAAGACACGTTTAGGTGTATATATATATATATATATATATGGTATGAGAAGATCGAACATCGCATCTGCGCTCCGTCACGAGCTGACAGGCAGGGGCTTCCGTGCCGCAGCTGGTGTCGCAGTTGGAGGCCAGAGACTCCACCTCTCCACCTCCGTTTTCGATCCCGCTGGAGAGACCTGAAGAGCTGCTTAGACTTCTGTGGTTTCCGCGGTCCGGACATCGCAGTGCGCACAGTGCATCGTTGTCAGCTTTCAGGGCACTCCCAGCTTGGTGACGACTCTCAGTGGAGATTTCCAGGTCGTGGCCTCAGACTCGGGAGTGTGCGTGATCAGAGCAGCTCCAACCGAACGCCCCGGAGATGGCCTCGATCGAGTAGCCAAAGCTTTCTACCGTAAACCCGAAGAACCGACAGCCCTTATCTTTCTCCCCCCCCCAACCCCTCCACACAGACGTAGACCTACTTCCGCTCGAACCTTGCTGCAGGAACAGCCTGCTTCTCGTATCTCTGCCCTCAAGGACGCTGTTGGTTCTGCGAGCCTCCCGCTCAGAGCACCCGTAAGCTTTGCTGAAGCCCGAAGCCCGAAAGCCCGAGACGGGGGGAATTCCGCAAGGCCGCGGGTAGACACCCATATCTGCAGAGCCCGAAACGTTGATCTTAGCAGCCCCAAGCAATTCAAGGTGCTGCGCTGTCCTTGCTTCAGCAGTCCATTCAGGCAGGCCCAGCGAGCAGCCCAGAACTGGCATCAGAGTTGGCTTTGCTGCAACGTTGCTCTGGTGAATGTAGTGACTTAGTGTAGAGGGCCCGCCCCTCAACTGGTGTTCCAAGGCTGCGGCCCTTATCCTGGGCTCGGACCTGTTTGTGGACCCGATGCTCGGTGCTCAGAATGCAAGTTTCCCGAAGTCACTTTGCCTTCAAAGGAGGATGCAGAATGTCCCAGGCAAGAGATGGCGGTCATGGGCTTCGAGTTCGGCGCGGTGCCGATCGCCGGGGTCTGCCCGCTCTTGCTCGCATCCAGGTCGATGTATGTCCCAATGCGCGAGACGTCTGTTGCCGACTGGAGCATCAAGGAAGAGTTGAATACCTTCAGATGCATAACGATGTCACGGTCGCGGTTGCAGTGTTGGTGTTGGTGTTTTTTTTCTGTTTTCAAGCGTCGTTCAGCATGAGGGAAGCTGAGTTGACTGCCATGGCAGCCATGGCGGCCGAGCCACCTGCGAGCCCTCCTCTAGCCGAGGCTGGGCCTCTGAAAATTGGGGAAGACCCTTCTCGTCATCCTCTCTGCTCCTCGTGGCTCTTTGTGACCCCCCGAGCCTGTAAAGTGCCCAAAGTCCCAGACTTGCAGAAGCTCAACCTGGGACTTGCGAGACCGCCCAGGAAGGCTTCTTCTTTTCGCCTGGCATGTTGGGTGAGGCCCAGGCGGGTGTTCATTCAAAAGAGGGAACTTCCCCACCACGGAAATGCCCACCCCCCCTTGGAGCCGGGAGCTCTGGAGGTCCTGGGAGCCCCCTGCGCAGAGTACATCATGCCATCAAAAGGGTTGTTTCCAAACCATCTTCATCTGCAAAGCCCACATCCATCTTTTTCCAAGTCAGTCGCACTTGCATTGCGCATGCAGATCAGAGCGGGGGCGTGCAAATACCAGCGTTGTATTTGCCTTGCAAGGTTGCTTGTAAGGTTCTTCATGCCAATGAAGAGGCGTTTTCTTGAGAACCCATATGTGTCCTTTCCGACCCCGACATGCGAGCAGTTATGCGAGCATTGTGCGATGAAAGGAAAAGCTTCAAAGCAACATATCAATCTCCAAACCCGTCATACGAGCGTTACAACCACAACCCCATTTTACAACCAGAACACCCATTCTACAATAAGAGACAGCGGATTCGACATGAGAATGCCCACTTTACAACTCCGCGACCGGAGATCGCACTTTGCAACGGTCTCTCTCTGTCTCTCTCGCGCTCTCTCTCACTCTTTCTGACTCTCTCTCCCTTTCTTTTTGTCTCTGAGTTTTGGGTTCGGGCTTTTGGGCTTAGGGGTCAGCTTATCGGTTTAATATCCTCCCCCCCCCCCCACTCAACCCCTGCTTGGCAGGTGCATGCCCTGCAGGCAGCAGTGGATTCTGGGCCTCATGGCACAGAAGCTGTCTCCTCGGGAAGACCCTTTGCTGCGACACCTGGGGCATCTGGGACTTTTCTAGGGTGCAGACTCGCACTGCCCCATAATCCACAAAGCCACTGCAGGTCCCATCTCTTCTGAACATCCGTCATATCCTTCATCGTAGAGTCGTAGAGTGTGCTGGGATGTCCTGTCAATGTGTGCCGTGGGTCAGTTGGCGCATGGACATTCCCCAAGCCTTCCGCGCTGCAGTTAACCAAGGTTCACTGGCACGGTTTCCCTCGCCAACACCTCTGGCAGCGTGGCCGACGAGAAGGGCTAACACTCGGTTGCGGGGGGTGTTGGAAGCTCCAGGACGCAACCCAGGCCCAACATACGACCCAACGGTCCCAATGCACCGGCCCCAGGCAGCAGGATGCCAAGACTTGCATCCTCGACACCTGCGAGCCGCTGTTGCTACGGCTTCGGGAGAGAGGCTGGAGACCTGTCCGAAACAAGGGATTTGGGGTTCTTAGAAGCTTAAATTCAACTATGCGGTGTAGACCCGCAACAGCAGGTTGAGAACATGGAAGCCTGCCAAACTAGTAATAGCAACGCAACCCATACGACTCGCTTGCGGCAGGGCAAAATAGGTTGCACGATTTCCCCGGCTGCTCAGCCAGCGTTTTCGCAGCTTCACACGATGAGGGCCACAAGAAACCCAGACTTAAATTTACCACACAAACAGACTCACGACCTAGGGTGTGCTGTAGTAAAGGGGGGGTCGCCCCCAAGCCAACGAGAAGAAGAAGATGCGGCATCATGTTTGAATTGAAGCAATTTGCTGGTTAGTCCATGGTTTGTCTATGTTCCTCTTCCTCCTCCTCCTCCTCCTCGTCTTCTTCTTCTTCTTCCAGGTATCCTGCCACATGGCTATTGGTTCGACCAGGCCATTGTCAACTTCTATTCAGAAGGTGAGCCCACATGGTTCCTGGTTTACCCGGTCTGGGAGGTTCAGGGCTTTGGGTGCACAGCATGGCTGCGCTCAGCAGACCTTTGGATTCCCAAGATGTCCCAAGGCGATGGCATACCCATGCACGTGGACAGATCCAACTTCGATGTCCCTCGGCAATGCCAAGATGTTGGCAAGGTGTATCGACTGCGTGCCACACTGAAACGTTCCTAAAATTTGTTTGTTCGGGTGCATGTTTCTCTAAAACGGGGCTGTGAACTTCGGGTGCCCAAACAACGGCCCAAAATACAGAACAACCCCCCCGTATCCAATGTTTTGCGCGAAAGACATCATCGGATGTCCTGATGCCCTATGTGACGATCTCCGCGGAGGACTACATCGTTGGCTTCAGCTTGGGTGCTCCAGTTGCCAAGGCCTCGGGTGATCTCAGGTTGCACCCTGAGGGACCTTGCAGACATGCGCATCCCATTCTCAAAGCCGAGGTGATGGACCTGGAGCCACTGGATTTGCGGGAATGTGCGCCCGCGGAGACAGAGGAGGCCTGAGAGAAGACATAGCCCTAGTGTGTCCACACGGCCACGGTCTGCTTCGCTAGGGCGTGGCAGGTCAAGTCGTTGCTCAATCTTCCTAAGCCGAACGAGCCAGAGCCCGAAGCCAAAGCAATCTCAGACACTTCCCAAGCCTAGCATCAGCACAGACCATAGAGGCATCATAGATTCATAGATGGAGAGAATTTCATGGACATTTAAGGACCAAGGCAGCGGGCTGGAGCGCGGTCCGCGGAGCTGTCAAGTGCTTCTTGAGGATCCTTGGCATCGGTTCGGGAGCGTGCTTTTAAGATGATGACTTTTGAGAAGGTCCGAGGCTCGGGTATATGCTCTTAAGGCTTTCTTTTTCGTACCAAGGAAGCTGTTTAGGTAGGTAGTACGGCAAAAAAAGTTGCGCAAGCCTGCTGCGTCGTGAATGCGATGTGTTAAGGAAGGTTCTGTGTACGTCTTCTCCGGCAAAGTACGGTGGAAATGGAAGCATGGAATCCAGCCTGGCACCCACAGGCAGGACCAGCCCGCTGCAAAGCCCCGAAGGTGTCCAAATCCCTCTCATCTTCTTAATGTAAATAACAAGAATAATAAGAATAAGAAAAATAATCGAAATAGCAATGATAATAATTAAAATCATCATCATCATCATAATCACAAGCATGACAAGAATATGAATGATAAGATTAATATTGACTCTGATCTGATCTCTGCGGTGAGGTACCAAGGTCAAGCGCTGCCGCCTGGCAGCCGCACGTCCGTCACTTTCCGACGCCTCCGGAAACCAGGGCTACAGGGCTCCGATGCCATCTGGGTGGAGAGTGGAGAAAACAAGCGTGTCCGAGAGAACTCCGAGAGCACTGCACGCTCAAGGCAGAATCTACACTCTGTTTCTTTTGTTTTTTTTTGTAGTTGCTGTTCTTGTTTCCGCGGAAGGTTGGCCTGGTCTTCCTGTTCTACAGCTTGCACTGGTGCTGCTGCTTACGGCGATGCAAGATCGATCGAAAGGCTCAGAGAGCCCCCCCGAGAGTTTTGGCGCGCCTTTCCGCCTTGGGGATCTTGCCTTCAGGATCACCCGGCTCCTCAGTGGGCGGCTTGTGGCTGGCCTTGATCCCCAGTGAGAGCACCGCCCAACTCATGTAGCCAAGTCACCAGCGCGTGTTCTGCACAGGTGTGGCGGGTGCTTGGGGGCCCTCATCGCTGCAGTGCTGGGCATCACTACTTTCGCCTCTTGCTCAGTAGCCATGAGCCCTGGCAGTTTGGCAATCTCCGGGAAAAAAGCACGGCTGCGCACTTCGACTGTCAACTTGTGTCTCGCTCTGGGTATGGGTGCGCGGAAGCAGCGGCCGTGCTGCAGGCCTCCGCCGCGCTTGGAAGTGAGCTTGCACCCCAGTCGCTCCAGTACACGGGTATATAACGGTATATAGGCGTCTACAGTTTATGGCGCTTACTGCAGGCACCTGTTAAGATGAATGCTCGCTGGGAGCGAGAGTCGCCCAGACCTCCCTACTTCGGACCGGAACAAAAACCTCAACACCACAGGGGTTCAGGTTCGAAAACTTCGCATCCAGGCCTCGAAATTAGAGTCCACAGCTCTTGTGCGTGTGCAGTGGCAGGTTCTGCATCATGATGGACACGCTCAGCGCCTCCGATGGTTTGGACCGGTGCCCCCAGGGTTCTCAAGAACAGGTTATTCTCTACCAAGGTCCGAGGTGCGCAGTGAAATGGGTAGAGGCGCTTCTGACGGAAGTGGGGGTTTAAGAAAATAGCAGGATTCCCTGAAATAAGGACCCCAAAAAGCCACCCCTCATTGCGGAAGTCGAGGTACGGCGTGCTCCTCGGCCTCGCAGGCGACAGCACCCAGGCCATCCTTGAAAGGGCGGGTCGTATGTAGAAGCTGTAAGAGAGAAAGAGGCGCAACCTCTTTTGGCCCCCACTCCCACTCCCACGATGCCGTTATGCCACGTCATGCTGCTATGCGTCACGGGGAGACCCACGCAGGTGGTGAGCGCAAGGAGTGCATCACTTGCCTGCCGCTCAGCCTCTCCGCTTCAGATCTCTACGCAAGCTACAATCTTCGCAGCTGGAACTCCTAGGGGATCCCTAGGGGGGAGGTGCATCTTCATGGAGCCTTTGCAATCTGATGGTTTTGAGTTGCTGCGCTTGGCCCGCAAGGCCTGCATGGGTCCTTCTTCGGATGTGACCTCGCGGGACCTGTTCCCATTGTTGGGGCTTGGAGCTTAGCGGATAAAGAACGAACCGAATGGGAGAGGGAGGGAACCCAAGAGAAGAAGGACCTCTGATTTCACTTGCCACAGGCGCCAAGAGTCATTGAACTCCAGCGACCGGAACAGGATGCCATCATACCACTGGCCACTGCAGAGGTAGGCCCGGTAGGCTAGCTTTAGAGTCTTTAGAATTCTAGGGGCCACTGGTGTTGGGGCAATATGAAGCGAAGAGCGAATGAACAATCGTTCATAAATCAGGAAGTTCACCGTTTCGGTGCCAATGCTGAGGTTGTCGGCCCCAGTGCAGGGGATTTCTGACATGGCCACTGATCTCACCTCGGTGCTCACATTCGACTTCGGTCCAATCCTGACTCAGTGCGCTGACAGCTGAACATGTCTGGGGTTCCAGGTGTAAGGCCTAGCAGGCGGGCGCAGTTGCACGGCAGCTTTTCAGGCTTGACTGAGGCTTGCAATCAGTGTGATGTTGGGCATTTCATGCTTGTGACTGCTGCCTACTCCTTGCCAGCACTCAGCGTTGCTTTTGCGTAGGCAACAACGTCATGCAGGTCTTTTCTTGTGTTTTTAAATTTTAGCGTTTGAGACCATACGCACGATGATAACGTCCATGTTACCAATGCGTGCGAATGGCCAGTGCATGCATGCCCGCGATCACTGCGTCTTGCAGGTTCAGGGGTTACAGGTTTCTACCGGTTTAGGGAAGGGTGTGGCCAGATGCAGCTTCAATTTTGGCCCAACAACCTGAAACCACAAGTACTTAAATTACAGGAGATTCCTTCCGAGGAAGTGCGCCCGATGGGAAGGCTTAAGGCTTGTAAAGTTAATCTCACACACACACACAAAGCGAGCATCTTGAATGTGTTCTGAGCTTCATCCTCTGTACAGGTACCAAGCTCTGAACACACAGGCCGCATGGGCCGCACTTGAATCTGATCTCAGGGTTGTGTTTCCAGATGGCGCCTTCTTTTCGAGTTCTGAAAAATAGAGGGCTCCTTTCACTGAACTAAACGTCTGAGTGTGAACTGAGGCCCAGAGCACAGCTTCTAGCTTCACTCCAGCTCCAGCCGATGCGAGTGCACAGGCACTGGCAAGATTTGCCTTCTTCGCATCCTTCGCATCGGGCGCTGGCAATAGTTTCCAAACGCCCAAAACAGCCCGTGGGTCAGGTGTATACGTGCTACACATGGATCTCGCTCACCCAGGACCGTCATGGAAAGTGCAAGTAGAATCAGGTAGAAGAGCCTCGTCACCCATTGGGTAGCACAATCTTGAGACGGCGTGCGCAGCCATTCTCCAGGCACCGACCAGTACCTCCTGCGACTTGCCAACGCTCCTTGTCTCACAGACAACCAGAGTCAAACTTTGGCGCCGGCGCTTTGCTCTGCAAGGTTCCAGGCAAACATGCAGACGCTGGCCCAGCTGGCCCTTCAATCCGGGACCACCTGACATGTTCTTCCCTGGCCTCGAAAGACCCAAAACAATTTGCGCCTTGATGCAAATCCCTACAGCGTGCCAGGCAGGACATCTCGTCTGCCCTCGGGACCATCAGGCTCGGCACAGAGCAGAATTTCAGTCAGCAAGGAAAGCACCTCTTACTGTCGATGTTTTCTCCCGCAGGCAGTCCCAAGGTGCATGGCAAAGCACCCTCTCGGACGTGCAGGCCAACAGCGGCTACGTCCCCTGAAGCTCTCCCGGCCACATTCTCCCAAATGAATCTGCGCACCGAAAGCAGGCGCTGGCCTCGCACACGAGCCTCAGTGCGCTGCAGACGGGCCTGGACTGTACCGAGGCCTTGATATCCCGTGATGTTTAGGTGAGTAGCTTGGTTGTGAGGGTTCAGGCAAAGTCTTGTGAAGTTTTAAGTGGAGATGCAGGAAAAACTCATTGAAGTGAGCCAGTAGGAAGTGCGGGGCCTTAGGGCTTGGTGATGCTCAGCATGGTCTAACTTCGACCGCCAGGTCTTCGATGCCTGGCAAGTTGCTACTGATCAGGCAGGGCAGCACAACCAACACACACACACACACACACACACACACACACACACACACACACACACACACACACACACAACACACCACACACACACACACCCAAACACACACACACACCACTCAAACACACACACACACACACACACCACACAAACACACACCACACAAACACACACACACACACACACACACACACACACACCACACAAACACACACACACACACACAAACACCACACACACACACACACACCACACACAGCACACACAGCACACACAGCACACACAGCACACACAGCACACACAGCACACACAGCACACACAGCACACACAGCACACACAGCACACACAGCACACACAGCACACACAGCACACACAGCACACACAGCACACACAGCACACCACAGACACCAACGACACACCACACCACACCCCCACGAACCCCACACAAACAACCACACAAACACCAAACCACACACACACCACCCACACACACAAACCCAACCACACACACACACACACACACACACCACCCACAAACACCCACACACACACAACACCCACCCACACACAACCAACACAAACACACCACACACACACACACCACACATCACCACACCACACACACCCACCACACAACACCACACACAACCACACACACACCACCCACACACACCACACACACACACACACACCAACCACAACACACCCACACACACATCACCAACACACACACACACCAAACCACCACACACACACCACACACACACCACCACACAAACACACCACCACACACAACCACACACAACTACCACACACACCCACACACAACACACACACAACACAAAAACACCACAAACCCCCCCCACCACACCAACACCACACACCACTCACCCCACACACACCACACACACCACACACACCACACACACCACACACACCACACACACCACACACACCACACACACCACACACACCACACACACCACACAAACCACACACACCACACACACCACACACACCACACACACCACACACACCACACACACCACACACACCACACACACCACACACACCACACACACCACACACACCACAGACACCACACACACCACACACACCACACACACCACACACACAACACACACCACACACACCACACACACCACACACACCACACACACCACACACACCACACAAAGCCGACACAGCACCCCATGCTACCCACACCACACACACCACACCCACCACAACACACACACACCACACACACCAGCCACACACCACACACCCCACACCACCACACACACCACCACACCACACACCACCACACACACACCCACCACCACACACACCAAAAACACCACACACACCCCCACACCACACACCCACCACACAC